ACAAATAAATATTTCACAAGATATAATTACATATTGTTTTTGTGATTAATCACTATGCTTGAAGTATGTTCAATTTGTAACAATGAAAATACATCCTGCAGATCAGATACCTACATGACATTTCATCACAGTAGCAAAATGACAGTGATGAAGTAGCAATGAAAACACTTTGATGGTTGGGGGTCTTGTATGAAAGGATCTCGGCACGAGGAAGGTGGCGAACCGCTGTGCTTACCCATCCCTGAGCTCTGCACTCTGCCACTGCCCCCCCCCCCCCCCCCCCCCCCCCCCCGGGGGGGGGGGGGGTGGGGGTTCTTACCTAGTCTTAGACCAAGTCAAAACACAGGTGGGAAAGAGGCCAGGGTTCCTGAAGGTCACGCCAGTCTAAGACAACCTAAGGAGTGCTTGCCCATCTCCTGGAGCCTGACACACTGAGCATGACAATGACCAAGAAACAACAGACAGACAGAACCTGGGGGCCACACTGAGCATCACCTGCTTTCCCTGGGGTGCCCACCCCTTCACCCTGAAAGGAGCACTCAGGCTTTCACAGATGAGCTTCCGCTTCCCCTACACACGCCCACCCCATCCCCATCCCCATTGCCAGGCTGTCCCTAAAACTTTTCAAAATACCCCTCCTCTCAGCTAGTCAGCGTGCCTGAAGCAGCCAGACTGCCAAACCAGGCTTACTTGTGAGGGAGAGTCAACAAATACCACCACAAAATCACAGACAGCCTCATTCAACAAAAGCCATCAAGCCGTGGTGGGATGCTTCCTCGGCACATCCAGGCCCGAGCCCGAGGGCGGTGTTTCCATCTCTCTAACCAGCAGTCCTCACCCTGTGGGTTGTGACCCACCCTCTGGAGGTCAAATGACCTTTCACAGGGGTCACCTAACACCACTGGAAAACACATCTTTCTGATGGTCTTAGGAACCGCTCCTCTCCCATCCCCAGGCGGTCCGCCCTCATGCAGATAGACCCACATACAAGCCCCCGGCGTGAAGACTGTTACCCATGCTGCACCATGCTTCAAGACCATCCCCAGGCGGTCCGCCCTCATGCAGATAGACCCACATACAAGCCCCCGGCGTGAACACTGTTACCCATGCTGCACCATGCTTCAAGACCATCCCCAGGCGGTCCGCCCTCGTGCAGATAGACCCACATACAAGCCCCCGGCGTGAACACTGTTACCCGTGCTACACCATGCTTCAAGACAGAATTTCATTCACTTGTCATAAGAAATAAACTTTTTTTTTCAAATCTGATTTGTCCTTTTTTTTTCCGGATTTGTTCTTTTTTTCTTTTCTTTTATTAGGGGCTCATACAACTCTTATCACAATCCATACATACATCAATTGTATAGAGTGCATTTGTACATTCATTGCCCTCATCTTTCTCAAAACAAATAAATATTTCACAAGATATAATTACATATTGTTTTTGTGATTAATCACTATG